GATTTGGTCGCTCCGTGGACGCGAACCCGAACGACCTGCAGCAGTGTGTCGGTCTCATTGCTGAGGGAGGCTGCTACAAACGGCGAGTTGCATTTAGCTTGCGGATATGGTGCCGCAGCCGTTGCTGATCCGCTCGGAGAGTCTTCTTCCCTTGAGCTTCCGTCCTCGGGTCTCGCGTATCCTGAGCTTCTGTGTAGCATTGGATGATGAGTGAGCTTGCAGCCCTCCACTCCGCATTTCCGAGAGGATCTGCATCTCCTGGTCCAGTGGCCCTTCCTCAGACATGAGAAGCAAAGGCCGTTCTCGTACACCATCTCCATTCTCGCTTCCAATGTTTTCTTCTTGAATGACGGGCAGTCAGCCACCCTGTGATTATCGCCGCACACCAGACAGGGTGGCAGCGAATGTGGTTCCACTTCTCCAGCTCCATGAGTCGCTCCAGTCGCGAGCGCTGTCCTCCGCACCGCTCCTTCACGCTGCGTGCCGGCTGCATTCCGTTCCGACGTTCCAGACTGAACTGCCGAGAAGCTGAGGATGCTGACTTGCACCTGAAGCCATTCGCTGAAGGTCTTCAGAGTGGGTCGTTCTGGCCGTAGCCGAAACACTTCACGACCCCATTCTCGGGCCAGCTCATTCGGCAGCTTCTCCACCACCCTCCTGAGGTTCTCACTACTGGACAGATCGCTTGAATAGCCAAGATTCTGTAGGATGGTCACTGTGTTATGAACGATGGCGTAGAACTTTTCCATTGCTGGAAGATCCGTGAGAGCTGGTGGGTTGGAAGTGAAGATTTTCCTCAACTGACTTTGGATGATGTCTTCTTCTCTCCCAAATCTTTCTTGTAGGGTTCTCAGAGCTTCCAGGTAGAGGCTGCCATTGAACAGCATGCCTTCAATAGCTTGGGCTGCCGGCCCTTCTACTGCGTTCTGCAAGTGAGCCATTCGCTCTGAGTCCGATAGAGACGGCTGGTCGTGGACGAGAGCCTTAAATAGGCCGATCCAGCGAGGCCACTCCTGAGGGCTGCCTCGGAAGGTAGGCAGCGTCAGACGTGGTATACTTTTCACGAACGCTGATGGGCCCGGGACGTCACATCGCCGCTCGGAACCCAACGCTGTCACCCAGCTGGTTGGGTCCTGGTTGGCAGTTCTCGGCTGGTTGGCTATCGAAGAGGTACTAGTAGCTTTCGGTGGCGGCGGCTCGCGCCGGAGCTCTCCCAAACCACTGATCACGCGTTCTTGCTCTTGCTCGTTTCCCTTCCCGCGGCCGCATCCGGTGTTGTTTTGACGACTAGGCGCCACTTCCACAGCGACCTCATCTTCAAAGTCGTGTCTTCGTTCCCACTCCAACTCGTTGCCAGCGGCCCTCCAGAGACGCGCCTTCAAAGTCGCACGTTCCACTTCCTCTTCTAGAGCCCTTTCTTCCAGCAAATCTTCTTGTTTTCTCATCTCTCGTTCTCTTTCTTTCCTTGCTTCTTCCATCGCTCGTTCTCTTTCTTTCCTTGCTTCTTCCAGCATATCTTCCTGTCTTCTCATCTCTCGTTCTCTTTCTTTCCTTGCTTTGAGATGCTTTAGTTCGAGAGCTTTCAATTCCGCGGTGATTTCAGCCTCCTTGAAAGTGGCTGAAGCCTTTGAGCCTCGTGATATATGAGACCCGCACACTTTGCTTCCTTCCTCAAGTTGCACCGATGGTAGGGGGAGCATTCCTGTGCGTGACGCTGAGCGGCTCGCTGATGGGCGAGTTATCGCCTCTTCAATTCTTGCGACCGTTTCGGCGTGCCGCGCTGTCATTCTTGTGGCGTACTCCTCCGCTTCTTCCAGCTCGCTCACATCTTGCAACTTCTCTACAAACTCCTCATTTGCATCCATGAAGGCGTCCAGCGTTGTGTGCAGCGTCTCGAGCCGCTTCTTCAATTCCTCCTCACTGGCTCGCCGCGCTATTTGCGCGTCAGCCCTGTTACACGAGCGTGTGAACATGGCCGCCTTGCGACCGCGATGAAGCTTTAATGCCTTCCGTTCAGCGGTGATATCTCCATCCTCTCCTCCTGCAGGGTCGCAGTTCTCTGGCATCGTCTCCCGGTTCTCCGTCTCTGTCTCCTCTTGCCCTGCAGGCTCGCAATTCTCAGGCGTCGTCTCCTGGTGCTCCGTCTCCATCGCGTCTTCCATCGGTCCACGATGCTTCTCAATTCGACTGACACGGTGGGAGCAGAACTTATCGACGTCACGGACGGTCGTTCACGCACAGTATCGACTTATTGTACATTCTCTTCTTGACTTCTTACATTCTTAACTGATACCATCCGGCCCGGAGGACCAGCGAATGTTGCGGACGTCTCTGGCTTTCTTGTGTGGACTGTATGGTGTTTGTTACGTCTCGCAGCATTCGGGTTGGCGGCCGGGGGAAATTGTGAGAGGATGTAGGATTAATAGAGGCAGTGAACGAATAATGAAGAAGGGAAGTAGCTAATCGGTAATTAAATAAGCACGGATGAATAATTTACGGATCAAGGTTCAACAGCGCCCGTCTCAGAGCGCACAAGGAGCACACCTCGCGGCATGCATGTTGGGTCGTTCAACAGCGCCCGTCTCAGAGCGCATAAGGAGCACACCCCGCGGCATGCATGTTGGGTCGTTCAACAGCGCCCGTCTCAGAGCGCATAAGGTGCACACCTCGCGGCATGCATGTTGGGTCGTTCAACAGCGCCCGTCTCAGAGCGCATAAGGAGCACACCTCGCGGCACGCATATTATGTAGGATGACAGAGGATTGATAGGAATAGTGAGTAGACCCGGCCACCGTGAAAAACTGTGAGCTGCGCGCCGCTCTCCTTTCCTCCACTCGCCACTTCGGTTTCACTCACACCACCACCACTTAAACACAGTCTTCTAAATAGAAGAGTTCGCTATTGACCGAAGACGGCAAGATGGCAGCAGTACAGCACAGACACAGTAGTTAGAAAAGTTAGACGTGAGCGGCAGCAGAGCGCCGCCGTCCGCGTTTGAGAGCGAAGTGAACTCGTCGGCGACTAACAGTGAAGTGAGACCGAGCAGAGCCCGGTATCGGTTCAAATACGTGGCCAAAATGTCACTCGATACAGGGGTCGTGACGCAGAGCACAAAAAAGGCGGCCGGCACGCCGCGTCCCCTCACACACCCTTCCAGTTCCCAGGCCCAGGGCCCCGCCGGCCCCATTCGGAACAGGTGACAGGTCAGCCGGGTCGCAGGGTCACAGGGGGACGCCGTTCGCGGCGTCGATACGGCCCATTGCTTCTGTCTCAGAAAAAAGCTATGCGCGGCGACAGGTGGCCGCTGGGCGGGCGGCGGCCCGGCTCGGCGGCGGGACCGGCGAGGCGGGGTGACGGGCGGCGCGGCGGCGGCTCGTCTCGGCATCAGCGGCGCGACATTTGCCTAGTTTGTCGGCAACACAACTCTTGCCGCCAACGCACCCAATGACCGGCAGAAAGGCTTTTAATTTGGAACAGTGGTCGGCAGGCCCTCCGGGGTCGTGCCCCAGTTTTCGGGCGCCAGGCAGGGCCATTACCCCCACCCTACCAGACACCATTGCATACACAACCGAGCTCACTGAAATGTCATACCTTTCCGTGACTCTTTGGGTATTTCGGGTTTTATTATGTAAAAACGTCGGATCATTTTTTACCCTTGAGCCGATCATTTTTTTTTATCTGCCATAAAACATGTCATATACATTGACAGAAATAACTGTTGACTTGTTAGGCAGTTGTTTCTTGAGATCATGGAAGGTCATAAAATTTCAATTCTAGAAGGTAGAGCGGGTTCTGAACTTCTGATCTACTCACCCAATGGCCAAGGAAGTTAACCGTCACCCGTATTGGTGTTTTGCCAGCCGCTAATTTATGGGGGGGGGAGAAATTCGTTGGACCCCTCTTTGTCGTTCGGCCCCTGATCAAGCATAAGCTTCGCGGAAAAAACGAGCGTGTTGCCCGTGACGAGAGGAAGCTGATGATACGCGATTTTAAGGTCCTAGGTCATTGATTGACCTTCCAGGTCGGCTCAATGACCCAAAAAGTCGGAAAATCGAGACCTGTCAGAACTTCGTAAAGTGAGGATGTTATGGAGTTTGTCGGGGTACTGATCACGAATTTTATCTAAGTTTTGATCACAGATGTCTTCGTGCATTTAGGCCAGGTCGGGTCAGGTCAGGTCGACCAATAGGCGTCCTGTCGGGTATTTATAGTAGGCCACTGACAGTTTCGTAACATGTTACGAAGGCACCAAAATTACTTGGTATGTGTTCAAATGGTTGCGAAATTCTAGCTACAATGTATAAAATTGATAAACCTGTACTGAAAATGTCATCCCGATCGGCCGCTTTTTGCGCGAGTTATTCGCGAAAACCCGAGGAAAAGGGAGGGTCCCCTATAAGTGCGAAGGTTAAAATTGGGTAGCAGCGTCTTCCTATCGTCACGGGAAGCACGTTCATTTTTCTACCGCAAAGCTCCAGTTCAGATTTCAGAGGCCGAGAGGCTGGGGTCCGACCGGCCCCTCCCCGTTTACGTTAGCTGTTATGAAAACGCCAATAGAGGGGCGACGGTCAGCGTTCGATCTTTGAACCCTGAGACCAAATAGGCGTGATGTCTGTCCCATCAAGGGAGACATTAATTCTAAGATAAGGCTTTCTCAGAGGCCCCCATTACCCCCCGCCGAGGGGCTCCATTACCCCCAAAGGGGGCATGCCCCACCATTTGCCGACCCCTGATTTGGAATGTGTACTGTACGGTGAGGATACAGGATGCAGATACGATATAATATAACGCCCGGAAAGTCCCAAAGGCCAGAGAGCGAATAACGGTCATGGATAGGTTTTTAATTTGGAATTTGCGCTGCACGGTGAGGATACAGGATGCAGATACGATATAACGCCCGGAAAGTCCCAAAGGCCAGAGAGCGAATAACGGACTTAACGACACAAACTTTCTACATTTCGCTTGCTAGAGATGTCAGAAAACCATGCGTAGGTACTCACCCCGGCTTTCGGGCACTGTCCGTCGAGGATCGGTCCCGATATGTACTCCATGTTCCGGTACTGCATCGAACCGTTGAAGCACATGTGGATGTTCTCCTCAAACTTTTCCTCGATTTCCTTCATCGAGAAAACACACACATTCGACTGTTCTTGCGGCTCGTTGGTAAACCCTTGACTGGGTGAGAAGGCGGCGACGAGCACCCTGTCGCCGTCGAGGATGCCGGCGTCCTGCGAGAGGTCGTCGCCCGGCTCAGCCACCCTGGCCGCCTGCAGCAGGTTGTCGCCGCCGCAGCTCAGCGTCATCTCCACGTAGCTGTCGTAGTTGGCGTCGGTGACGCACGTGCGCACGATCCGAGAGATGTAGCCCCTCTCCTGCTGGCCAGGAAGGTGGGAGCGCCGCTGCACCGTCAGAAAGTAAGCGTAATCTTTCTCGTGGAAGCCGTACACGTATTCCACCAGAAAGTGGTCCCGGTACTTGACGTCCACTGTCAGCATCGAGTGCTTGTTGAACGAACGCTCGGCAAAGTCCAGATTGTCAAGTCGCCGTGTGGATATCGCCGGCACAGTGTTGCGGTAGATGCCCACTAAGGTGAAGGTGGTGGCCACATACAGAACGTTGGAGGCTCCCCACGCGTGGTAGTGCTCCGGCCCGATGAACGCCACTGTCGACGAGTTGGCGTCGTTGGCGGCGATGGCCTCGGGCAGGTCCTGGCTGGGCAGGGAGATGTTGTTGAGGTCGTACTTGGTGCAGGCGCCCTGCAGCACCGAGCCGCACGCCAGCAGTGTCCGCGACTCCTGGTCGACCACCAGCACCTTGTTGACATTGTCTGTGGGCTCGGTGGCCACGTCGGCGGGACAGCCGGAGGCGGGGCATGAGAGCGGGTTGTCCTGGCGCGGCCCGGTGACCACCTCCTGCAGCCGGGCCAGCGTCGAGGACAGCTGGTAGATCCGGTTGACGCCGGCCACGTACACCTGGCCCGAGCCGGGGCTGAGTCGCAGGTGGGTCAGTCGGCTGACCTCAGCGCTCAGGTCGAGCTGGGTCACCACCGGGTCATCGGCACAGGCGACCGACAACAGCAGCGGCAGCAGCAGCGCCGCCGCCGGCCGAGACCGGCAAAACATCGCTAGGACACTGGCGATGAACAGTCTCCTGAAGCGCTCCCGACCATAATCTGCAACAGAAGAAAACAAGAATCAGCATTTTACGCGTCAAGAGCTGAACAAGTCAGCCGCCACCGTCAAACCCGTCGGCGAGCGGCGGCTGTTCGCGGTGCGATCCAATCTGTCGCCTTCGTCAGCGTGACCGCAAAGTGGCGGTTATTCGCTGTTAGTCGGCGATGAGCGCGGCGATAGGCGACTTGTGCCGCCCGCGGGAGACGTCCGGCGCAAATTACAGAGCCTGTCGGAGGCTGTCACAGACGTGACGCGCCGACATCACCCACTACCGGCCCTGTTTACCGGAGCCGAACAAAGAGCCCCTTCGCCCACCGAGTCCCACAATTACAGCCGACGTCTGAGGCGGATTTCGGCAGGACATATACATGTTCCGTGTGGTTCTGCGCGGTGTGGGGGCGAAACGGAGCCGCGGTGGGAACGGCTCGGAACCACAAACAAAGAAACAGTTTTCATGGACGGGTCGCCAATGGCACAGATCTGCAGACGGCGCTTGCTGAATGCAAGCCTCTTACAAACGCAGCCCCTTTCGTATGCAAAATATGTTGCGCTGCATCCGGCTTTTGTTCCAATAAAGACAAATGCTACTCATTTCCGGCTGTGACGACCGAACTTGGTCTGCACGAGGCAACCGGTTGTCAGAAGCATGACCGTCATCTCAGTGAGCCGAATTTAATTACCCGTTCCGCAGAGCGCCGCGGGCCTGGCTCTTCCCACAGTCGCTGTACACCTGCCACCAGGGTAATACAACACCATCATCCGGGCGCCGGGGGCAGAGAAACTGGTGCACCGGCCTGCACGCGTACTGCCAAATTGGCGGAATCCAGCAGCGGGCCGCGATCAGGCCGTGTGTCAGTGATTCAATTAGCCGTGAATCAGACTGGTGTCGTCTCGGGATGCGCGCTGTGGAGTGTGTCTGCCGTAGCGCGGACAGCGCGGCGCTGCAGGCTGCCGAGAGTGTGTCTGGCCCCGCCCAGCCGCCTGGTGCGGCGCGCAGTTAATTAGATGCCAGTCTAATTCACGGCCGAAGCCAGGTATCCATCACAGTCGCGGGAGGGGGCTCCGGTACAGCCCGCGACGACCCGCCAGGTAGCCTTCTGCAGCTCCGGGCCGCCGCTGCAGCTGGTACAGCTACCCAGCCTCCTCGGCCACTGAGGGGCAGCTCTGCGGGGCAGCTGGAGTGGCTGCACTCGCCGAACCGAGAGATGGGCTGGGGCTTGTCGGACATGACGGTGGGATATGGTGTGCTCAATTTCCACGGTATCCTATACGGTCGCACGTAGGCGATGGCGTTTGAAGTCGGTGGCGTGAAACACCCACACATGCTGGGAGCTGACCTTCGGTCGAACGAAAACAAACTGTCAGATCGCGTTTCAGCGTCGAGCGCCAACAGCACGGAGGTCCCACTGCTGACAGGGGGTCCAGGCGGCGCCGCTCGGCCCTCTGATCACGTGAACGTGTGCCTCATGAGCCCACATGTCACGTGACGGCGTCATCTGCCGGCCAGGCGCCTCGCACCGAGCGGCGGTGCCCCGTTCCGGTAACAAAGCCGCGCCGCACTGCTGCCGTCCCCGTCCGCTGTCATGGGAACCGACCCTATTTTTATCGTCCGCGCGACGTGCATGAAGCCGTAGTGGCAAAAGTGCCGCGGCAAAATGGCGCCGTGACGCACCGTGACGCGCGAGCGGCGGAGCTGGCGCGGCGCGACAAAACCGGCGCGACGCGATTGACGTGCGTCCGGCGATAGGCGGTGCGCCGGCGGGGAAAAGGCGGACGTGTCTGAACTGTGTCCTGGGTCATCGAACCGCCACGCGTCTGAACACAGGAGCCGGCGGCGTATATGCTGTCGGCGATTTTTGTCCATGGTTTTGAGAGTTTGCAAATTGCAGACAAGCTGCGCAGTTCAGCGAATGATTTGGCGAGATTGCATCTTTGTCCTATGGGCGCTCCAGCAGATGTTTTCGTTTCGTGGTTAGCAAGTATGCATGGAATGGTAGTTTGCATAGAAATCACATCAGGAAAGGAGTTTCAATTAATTACCCTCTGCATTCATGATAAATGCACATACGAATTGATGATCTACTGCACTGGGAAAATAAGCACGCGTTCGATCCCGCTAGGGATCTTCTTCAGCTCAGCGACGATCGAATGATAGATGTTATCTTGGCTAAGTGGCTGCGAACATGAACGCCGCGCCCCGACTCATCACATACTCGGGAGCGCGCTACCAATGTTGTCACAGCGTTACCCGGCGCCAGACGCACCATCAAGCGTATCGGAGGTCAGCGTTACACCATCAAAACAGGCACCAGAGGCGCGCGAGTTACACAAGAAGCAGGCTGCCGGCACTGATCTGAGCCAGACAATGAGCTCCGGGCTGGCAGACCTGTCGCTCCCCGTCACGGCGCGCTCGTCTGGAGTCGGACACCTCTCCGGCCCACCGAGCCGCCTGCCGACTCCACAGCCCGGCGCGGTGACACTGCAAGCGGCGCAGTGACACCCCGAGCGGAGTGGCATCTACCGGTGACCGGTGTAACTCGCGCTGCCGCGGGCGGTCGGCGCCGTCTGATACGCCCGTCGGCCGGCCTGCTCTATGTTTATCCGCCTCGTGTCGGACCTAATCCGGTCGGCCGCCCTGTTTGTTATTGGACGGACGGACAGTGCTCTCGGCGATATGGGAACGAGACGCCGAGAGACGGAGACGAGGAGCCCGGCTATCGGCGGCGTGAGATCGGGTAGCGATTATCATCCGCCGCCGCCGCAGCCGAGCGGGCCCGGCAGATGGACTTACAGCCCCGCCACCGCCGCCGCGCCCCGGGGACCGACACGGCCGCCGACACTGCTGATCGCCCCCCGGGGAATCACCGTAATGGATACGGCGGGCAGGGGCACACTCCGCTGAACAGGCCCGCTCTGTTCGGCGGCGATAAGTTTTATTGGTGGGTGCCGAGCAGGATAAAAATGCCGTCACTTGAGCACCGCGATGACACTCGAATGATTTGTCAACATTAGTCGATTCCGGTGAAAGGAAAGGCTTGCTGAGTACCAAAAATGATAAGAATGTTTGCGGCGGGGAAAAGAGGCACTCCTCTGATTGCACGTTGCAGCCCCGGTGTGATACCACCGGCCGAGTCGAGCTTTGCAAGCTGCAACCTGTTGTAGATAAACGGCATACCCGGGAGGCCTTTGCACGTCTTAGTGCCCTCTCCGCTGCAGACAGCTGGTCTCTCAGCCATTTGCAGTGATGACACTGAGCTTCGTCTGCACGCGCTGTGCCTTCCAGGGTCTCAGCGGAGGGTCCGGAGTAGAGGTGGCAAAATGTGGACCCGAGGACCCGGTCCAAAGAACCAGTCTGGACCCATATGGGTCCAGACCGGTCCCTGGAAATTTTCTGACGGGTCCAAACGGGTCCTACCATAAACTATACATCTTGCACACTACACATTATTGCAAAATATGAAGTGAATGAAGTGAATGTTTCTTTGCACACAGTAGCTCATGAGTATTCCCAGTGGGGAATAGGCTGTTTAACCCTCGCCGGACCTATTGGTTTTCTACATACGCGCCGGCCGAGGGGGGGGGCGGGTACGACCCCCCCCTCGCCGTTTCGCCCCTGGTGGAGCTAGCGCGTCGCGGAAAAAACGAGCGTGTGCGCCGTTACGAGACGCAGAGATTGGTACCCGATTTTAAGGTCCTAGGTCAACCGGTGACCTCTGAGGTCAGGTCAAGTGCCCCAAGGTACGGTTCAGTTTTTGGTGAATAACTTCGCAAAAAACGGCCGCAGCGCCGCGATTTTGGCAGCATCGTGTTCGCCTCGCTCAGGCGCGTCGAATGATATACTTTTTGTTCGGGTCAGGTCAACTTGGGGTGTTGACCTCAGGTCAAGGTCAGGTCAGCACCCTAAGGTCACGAAGTTGGTCGAAAGGGGTCATGTCGCATATCATTCGATTCGGCAGGTCTTTCTGAGTCCATTGGTGGCTTCCCCGACTCGCTAGCTCAATTTGATCAAGAGTTATTGACGAAAAACTAATATGGCCTTGATGACGTCATAAATGACGTCACGCAAGGTCAACATTGCAAAAGTGACGCATCTAACCTTGCAAGGAGTGCATCAAATCACGATTCTGTGTGATTGAGATGGTGGGAGATCGTTCCCGGCGCCAGAATAGCAGTTTGAATTTTTCCCCATTGACTTATAATGGTGAGGTCACGAAAATGACCTGACCTCATATGACCTTTAGGAAAAATCCGAGATATACAAGTTGTGAGACTCATAATGGATACTAGATCCTGCAAGTTTCATTTCCCTGTGACATCTCCTCTGGCAGTGAGGGCGTTGCGAAGTTGCGACATCTGAAGACCGTGCAGAGGTTCACTTATGACGTCATAGGTCAGTGACCTGACCTGACCCAAAAATGCGGTTGGTGTCAAAAGATGCGGCTTGGATCAAAGGTCAGGTATGCCAAGTTTCAGCTCTCTATCGCCAGCGTGTTCGGAGCTATCGCGAAAAAACCCTATGGGGGGGGGGGCGGCACCCGCCCCCCCCCCCTCGGCCGGCGAGGGTTAACATGATGCAACTAATGATACCTACCTACAGGTAGTTTGTATTAATTGACTTTTGGGGAACGGGTTCAACCGGGTTCCGATTCCAACTAAGACCGGGTCCGACTGGTTCCAGAAATGTCCAGCCGGGCCTGGTTCGAGTCTGGTTCCCAAAATTTTCATCTTTAGCCACCTCTAGTCCGGAGCCGGCGAGAACAGAGCCCGCCCGGACATGTGCACCAATTTGTCCACCACATGCACGTCGGTCATCGTCTGCTCTGCATAGATATACCGCCGTCAGTCCAGATGGCTGTCCTCCCTGCTGAGCCGGCCCCACCGAACGGCGCAGCTCAGCGCTCGCTCGTGGGTACGGCCGCTCAGAAACCGGTGGCGCTCCGCCTCGCAGCGGGTTCGGAAACTAATGACGTCAAGAGCACGGCAGCCGCCCACGGAATGG